AGGATCTTTTCAACATACTCTGTTTGAGACAACTTCGGTCTTCCTGCACTTTTGTCCCCGCTTACTCTCATTTTGAGGATCTTTTTGGTTAATGTCGAACTCACTTATTAATTGTTTTTTTTTAAGTCCCTGATTTTCTCCATATCTTCCCCTGCAATCAACATGCCATATGCATATAAAAGAAACATGATATAACAATTACTGAAGTGTTTGATGAAGCAACAGTGGTCTGCCTGACATTTAAAATACTCATTTTTTGACATAAACCTGTCAAATCTTTTGTACCACTGTCTCGGGATCTGCTTCAAGCCATAAAGGCTCTTCAATCTATAGACCGAACCTTCTTTGCCTGAAACATTGTAACCTTCTGGTTGCACCATGTATAGCTCATCCATATCTCCATGTAAGAAAGCTGTTTTTATATTCATATGCTTCAGATGTTGATCTTCTACTACCAGACTCAGCACAGCCCTGACAGTCGTCATCTTCACCATTGTGGAGAAGATCTCTGAGTAATCTACTCATTCCCTTTGTTGGGAACCCTTCACTGCAAGTCTTTCCTTTTAGCGTTTGCTATCATTTGTCTCCTCTTTCAGCCTGTAGATCCACCTGTTGTGTAGTGTTCATTTGCCATTCGGTAGTATTGTCAAATCCCAAGTTTGATTTGACTCGAAAGATTGTATTTCTTCATCCATAGCTATCCCCCACTTCCTTGAATCTTCAACTTGAGTGGCCTCAAAGCACTCTGGTTCACCATTATCAGTTAGTTACAATTAGTGTAAATAATGAGAATACTTCTGTATGGGTCGTATCACTCTGCTAGATATTCTAACTTTTGTAGCAGATGACTGAGGAACTGTCAATGCTCCTTCTGGTTAAACACTTGTTCTTTCTCCATCCTCTTGATTACAAGTGTCATCTATCTTCACATATCTGGATACTTTAGAAGTAGCTGACGGACTATCCCGAGTTTTGACTCTGTTCTTGTACATCTCCATCTCATTGAATGTGACTCCCCGCTTCTAATGAATTTCTGATTATGATAATCCCTGAACTTGTACCCAAATTCTTCTGAGCCATATCCAATCAAGGTGCACTTGACAGATTTCGAGTTAAGCTTGCTTCTGGACCCTGCATCAATATGCACATATGCAGAATACTCAAATACTCTTAAGTAAGACAGATACACCTTTTTGTCACTCTAGGTTTTTTCAGGTAAGCCTTCCTCCAAAGGTACTGATAGATTACGACTGATTAGATAAACTTTAGTGTTTACTGTTTCAACCCAAAACTATTTTAGCAAAGTCTGCATGCAGTCTCATACTCCTAGCACGCTTCGTGATTGTTCTGTTCATGCGTTCAACCACACCATTATGCTCCGGTGTCCTTGGGACAAGGAACTCATGCTTGACCCCCTCTGTAGCACATAAAGTTTCGAACTACTGATCACGATACTCGCCCACATTATTTTGATTTGAGACATTTTGCTTCAAGCTTGTTTCAATTTCTGTCATAACCTTCCACTTCTTACATACTTCAAATGCATCAGATTTTTCCTTTAAGAAATAAACCCATATAGGTCTCGTGTGATCATCAATAAACGTGACAAAATAGCGACAACCTCCAAGGAATTGAAGTGGAACCCCACACATTATTATGCATTAACTCCAGTTTCTTTGATTTCACCACTGACTTGCTCTTGGAGAAAGAAACATTCTTTTGCTTGCTATATATACAATCTTCACAAAAATCAGATCAACTGATTTCAAACCCTGAAGTTTATTCTTCGAAAGTAGGAACTTCATACTTTTCTCGCTCATATGGCCAATCTACGATGCCACAGACCTGCATCCACCCTGGTTCTAGCCACATTAATAAAATCAGTCATTTCATGGATCAGATAAAAAGTTCCTTCTATGTTGCTCCGAGCCATCACTACACCTTCCACGAATCACTCGTGAAAATTGTTACATGTCTTGACTTTGTCAACTGGCTTACAACAATAAGATTTCTCTTCAAACTTGGAACATATCTAACTTCAGTAACCTTCCAGACTTTTCCATTTAACAACTTGATATCAACACCACTCCTTTCCTATAATGTTGCAGGCTTTGTTAGATCACTCTGAGTGTAGTTTTTAAATACCTCTTTATTGGGGCAAGCATGAAAAGAAGCACTTAAATCCACTGTTCAGGATTTTGTACTGATCAGGGATAACACTAGGTAATCATTTTGAATTTCACCAGTGGAGATATTAGTAGAGAAACTACTTTTCTATCCTCAACCACCAGGTTTTCTTGGATCTTTGTAGTTTTTCTTGAAATGCCCTTTCTTGTCGCATTTCCAATATTCTCCTTTGCCTGACTTGGACTTTCCTTTCTTGGACTTGGATCTGCCTCTACCTTTATTCCCGCCTAGAGACATTCCCCTGTTATCAGCATTCAACGCAAATTTTGAAGATTCACCTTTCACAGCTTTTCTGCAAACTTCATCCAGCATCAGAATCACGATATCATCAAAGTTCAACTTCAAATTATTTGAAGAATTACTCTTCGTCGTTACCAAGCCCTTTCAGCTGTCCGACAATGAAGATAGTATCACTAGTGCTCCGACTTCATTATCAAACATGATCCCCACAAAACAAAACTGGCTCGTTACAGTGTTAAAGTTATTGAGATGCTCTGCCCAGAATTGATTTCCACCATCTTCATATTGAATAATATATTCATTAGAAAAACCTTATTGAAAGCAGAAGGTTTTTCGTACGTCTTGGTCAGTGTCGCCATGAGATCCACCGTAGTTTTATTATTCACAATGTTGAATGCAACAGATGAGAAAAGCGATAACCTGATCAAGCCTAGTGTCGTTCGATCCTACACTTCCGATTATGTCATAGGCATAGATTTAAGTTTCTTTGTAATTCCTTGTAGTAGCAAGTATAATCTTTTCTGACACAACAATTCTCAATCTGCATCTTCCAGAAAGCGAAGTTCGTCCCATTAAACTTCTCCACCTTAAACCTTACTTCTTCGGTCATTGCTCCCACTCAAATTGAACCCTGTTGGTACTAGTTTGTTAGGAAATCTCCAATGAATAATTTCCAACTTTAATGGGGATTAGGATTAATTAGAAACTAAATCATACCACGTAATTCAAGAAAAATCAGAACAAAATTGAACAGAAAGGACAATCAAAGCAACCAAAATGGCGCGCCAGAATTTTACGTGGAAAACCCTTAGAACTGGAAAAAACCAAAGAGCCACAACATAAAAAATTCCACTATGAAATTCAGAAGCTTTTACAAAGAACTCACACAAGTTTTCTCTCCACACACAAAGAAAATACACGACTTATTCCACAATATCCTCTCTCCTATCCGATGCAAGAATCACATTGAATCACAACAATCCACTTCTTCGACACTTCTTACCTTCACCGGGATGCTCGTCGAATAATACGAAAGGAAGAAACACCAAAACCATCAAACACTGCTTGAAATTGAGATTAAAAACTGAAATCTCGGGATAAACTGCTCATGGTGTTTAGGCGTTTAGACTTGGTGCCTAAGTGCCAAGCTCTCTGAAAGCATAACCCGTGCCCAGCAAAACGGCTGGCGCAAAAGCGCCGGCTTCTTTGTTCCATCCAAACTTGGGCGCAAAAGCTCCCCCTTCAGAAGCAGTGTCCAGCAATGGGCGCTTAGGCGTCCAAACCTGGCACTTAGCCACCGGGTTCTGGGGTGCTTTTGGCTCCACAAACACAATACCTTGATGTATTTGTGGTGTGTTTATTAATGGTATTTTGTGGGTATTTCATTCATTATTATTAATGTTTTAGAATATTCTTCATAGTAAATATGAGCTATGCAAATCACTCTCTTAATTGAACTAGATTGGATAATATTGCCTTTTGGCTAACCCAACTATTGTGATTGGATCGAATTCAAGAGGCAAATGGTGGTGGTCTTCCAGTGATTGCCGTTATCATTGTCTTTAATCGATGATTTGAATATGCCATCTTAGAAATCATGTTGCCACAAGTCCAATGGATGTATCGCAATTTCAATGGCCCTTTCAGGATTGTCATTCTAATATAGGCAGTAAAAAAGCAATGTTAAAATGTTACATTTTTCGTATGAAAATATTCTGGAGAGCAATCATTTGCTATAAATAGCTCACGAAATACGTTTCTAGTTGTCATAGTTATTCCATGAGGCAAGAAAGTTGACAACTTATTTGCACTGTAACAAGCACACACTCGAGTGATGCTTATGCAGAGGACCTAACAGACTTGGCGGCCAATGGGTGTGACAACAACAGCAGCAACTGTTTCCTTCCTCGGAAGCAGGAAATTGTGAGAAAGCAGTCCGACTAGAATCGGGCCGTTCCATGTAGATTTATCCCATCTTGGCTTATTTGACCTTCAAAGTTTATTTATTTATTTATTCTTTATTTTTGAAGATTTACATCCATTGCACTGAATTCTTAATGTATTTACATTTATAACACCTAAAATTCAATTTTTACATGTGACTTCATCTATGCATCAAAAAGGTGTATTTCACTTTTAAAAAATTAAAATAGTGGTATTTTTTATGTCAAATGAAAGATTTGAGTGGTATAAATGTAAAAAACAAAATTTGAGTATTAGGTTTATAAATACACAGGAATTGGGTGTTAGTCTGTAAATGCCCCCTTTTTTGTTGCTGATGCTTCAATCACAACGAGACAGTCCATTTGGCTGTCGTGTTTCAAGTTTATTTGACGTTTAATGAAGTTTTTATGCTAAATTGAGTTTGGATTTTACTCAAATCATCTCAAATGCATGGCTTGCATTAAAATTTATGCTCAATAAATAAAAATGAGATTTTTATAATCTCAACAATCGGTAATATACAACTAATCACCCATTGCTCGTTTCCTTTCTCGCAAAATCCTATGACCCAAACAGCAACCATTTGTTCCACAAGAAACATTCAGCTGCAACCTTTTGAAAACTTTCAGGTATTGGCATACTTACTGATGTCTGCATCTTCGTCAGCAGCCGCTCGAATTGATGACTGGACCTCCATGTTTGGCAGTGATATGTTCACCAACATGTTGATTGGCTCAATTGCGGCCTCTTTCGCCGCCTTCTTGGCTTTCGCTATCAGCTCCATTATTTCTGCTTTCAAGCTCTTCAGCTTGAATCCTTAGACAGCACACAACAATGCCTGTATATAGGTAAGCTTTTTTGTTTGTCAGTATCCTGTTGTTGCTAAGGAACAGAATCTTATACTCTAGAGTGAATGGCCTTTTTGCAAATGCCCCATTTTATTGGTTCTAAATAGAAAACATGCAGATGTCCAAAATGATTCAATTTTGTCAAGTTTCAACATTTTATTGGCTGTAATTAACCAAAGATCATAAATGTTGAAATTATTTTTAGTTAACTTGTGATTTGAAATTCTTATAAAGTTGCATCTGACCAAATATTCGAATTAAATTTAGAAATTTGAAAGATATTAATTTACTCTCTTATAAATTTTAATTTGCATCTTTGCCTTGCGTATATATTGCAAACTTATTTGCATTCAACACGTCTCGAATGGTCATTAACAAATATACCTGCCATGGTTAACTCCAAGCCTCAGGCCGAGTCGTGATATTTATCATTTTGTCCAATTGGATGCCATGATACTCAGAGTTACATTCCACTGTCTAGAGCACTCAATGAATTCTTTTCGATCCTTGCTAACGTAAAACTCAGTAAATCTACCTTTGTTTTTGCTGCTCCACCCTGACATTTCATGCCAAATATTATTGGTAGTGGTTTTTCATCCCTGTAATCCACATAATGGAAGGGATTCACTCCATTCCTTTCATCTGGAAAGTCATTATTATGGCTACTAGTTACCCTCCAGATTATCTCAACTTGACGATAATGAGCCTCTGTTGTAGCTGGAAGATTTTCAGTGCATCTATTTCATGGTAAGTTTTTGAGAATCACTTATATTTCTCATAAGCGACATTATGACATTTTATACAAGAGCTTCCCTAACTTTAAAAAAAAAAAAAACATTTTCCTTTGCTGATTTTTCAAATCAACGCTAATATTTTTTCTTTTTTGTCATAAATCAACTCCGCACACCCCTTTTAACCCCTCTAAAACTAAACCTTAGCCATGCAAGAGGATTATCAGGAACACAATCATGAATAAATGATATAATGTCACTTATGAGAAATCCATAAAGAGATGTTTAGAAACTTAACATAAAAGAGGTACATAAGAAAATCCCTTAATTACAATAATGGCTCACCATCATTGTGAGGAGACAATCTGGAAGGGTCACTTATAACCACAACAGTGACTTATCAGATTGAAAGAATGCATTGAATCATTTACACCAAACAAATTCTAGGGACGAGGAATCACAATCCTGAAGATTTGGCATGAAATATCAGAGAAGACAAGATATTGATGTAAAGATGGATTTGTCATAATTTGACGACCACTTAGATCTGATTGAGCTCATTGATTGACTCTAGACTGTGGAATGTGTCTTGAATACCAAGACATCTCACTGAATAGAATAGTGAAACTGGCTACCAAGAAGTTAAAGAAGACTGCATCTCCATGCTCGGAGAACTTGAAGATTCTTCAACAGTGAAAAGGGAAAAATAAAATTACTACTTGTTTTAAGATGAAATGAGAGATGAAGTGCCATTAATTACTAGTCATTACAGATAGGATGTTTAGACCCTAGCTTCAAAAGTGGAGGGATAATATCATCAGATGACCATCACATCTTACAAACAATGTTCAACTCTATGATCAAATTACCCAAAGACCAGAGGAGAAACTAAGTCAGAGTGAAGAACAAATAGACTTAAATAGCATTCCAAAATCCATCCAAGCTAGAAAGTGCATCAATTGCGACGATTTTGGAAAGATTGCATTAGATTGCCTAAGTAAGAGTACAATCTATTTCACTGAGCAGAGAGCAGTTGAAGAAATAGACAAAGAGACAATCAACACTAAAAAAGTGAGGACACAAAGGAGTACTAGCTACCAACCGTTGAGGGAGAGATGCATGTAATTCAAGCTGAGCTCACGAGTGATACCCTAATGGGATTAACAACAGTCATCCTAGATAGGAGTGAGTCTGAGATAATAGTCATTCATGCAAAGTATGAGATTGTGATGTTGCATAGGAGTTGAGAGGAGAATTAGTAGAACTACCATTGGATGTTCAAAAGGGTGATGAGTTTGAGCAGTAAAGTGACAGACACAAGGCAACCTCAAATAAGAAAATTTTAAAATTTTTAGATATATAGGTTGCCTCTTGATTTGCCCCTATTGAGGGAGGTCCAATATATCACAGACGAGAGGCTTTTGAGCTACTTCTAAAAGATCAATGAGATCATTTGTGCATTAACTTCAATTCAGCGGTGTGCCCACCAATAAATGTTCATATAAAAGGGATGACCCACAATGTTAGAAATCACCTTAGGAGCTTTGTAAGACATCCTATAATGGTATTTAGGTCATTCAAGAGAAGAAGAACATACATCTTCTGAGTGTTTGCTATCGAGAATTCCCTAACCTACCACAAATTTCAGTCCTTCTGTAGATGAACCTGTTTATCAAATGTGACCTACATAGTAGGATGAGTGGAAGAGGTAGATATGTAGCTCCAGCTCAGCGTGTGCCATTAGAAGATATATATTTATTTTATCATGATATGTTATGGAATGACAATTCCTATTAGACTTACCAAGAGATTATACCAATTTTGTTACCTTCAATATGGTGGATCTATCATCATAGTATAAAGAGACAGAAGCTTCGATATATGAGCAACCCCAAGAGAATAACATGGGCTTCTCCCGTAACTTAGATCGAACACGAATGACGTAGAGCTAAATTGAGTGACTCCTCTTTCTGACCATTTCCAATTTTTAGCACATTTCTTATTATCCTTTCTTCGTGCCTAGTCCTTTTCAACTTATGTGTTGTATTAGGGATTGTATTCTCAATTGTTTATGTGAGTTTTTTTCGGGATAATCGCCAACTTCTCCGTTTCTTTTTTTTAGGGTTGTATCTAAGTGTCACCTCCAATTGTATCTCACTCTCGAAGTGGTGATTATCTTCCTTGTCCTCTTCCACATCCCTCTCAAACCACTCAAGATCAGCCATTCCCTGATGCAGTCGCCCGTAACAATTTTCTTGACAATTTTTTCCTACAACATTGTTCCAGCCATTGACAAACACTTTTTTGCTTGTCACCATAATCCAGGATAGTTAAGAGTTGTCGCTGCATTTTCCAGCCTTTACAACCATCGTTCCTCTCCATTGACGTGCCAAAACTTACCACAAAGTAAGTTGGCATCACAACACAAAGTATACATGTCAAATAATAATGCGGTTAATGAGTACATCACATTTATTACATATGGAAAGTGTAATATTTAGTTCCACATAAAAATCTTTATTTTATTAATTTAATTAACCTTGCTTGGCAGTTATCAAAAATATGTTTGAAATCCTAGTTCTAATGAAAGCAGAATATATCGCAGGCGGAGGAAACAAAATAACAGGAAAGATCACGTGAGTTCCTTCAAGATTGATGAGACACGTGCCTATGTGATTTGGGGATTGTGATGATCATGATTTCCTAAATGTATTCCAACGTAATTGTTGATAATTGAGAATATGCTACTCGTTATGCCTATGTCCGTGTCAAAAGAAGCCTAGAACCCATGAAGTTGAGGCTTCTTCAATCCTCATGACATTCCACATGATTATTTTAATCCCCAGAAAGATTGCATAATTCTTCTGTAATATGTATATCATCTCAAGATTCTGTGGTTGACCCTTCATGTTCATTACGCGACAGTTAGAAGTTGTTGTTTCATAAAACATTTTAACATCCTAGTTGACCAAAGTAGGATTATATTAAGATCGAAGGTTAACCAATAACATAGGCCATGAAAGCATGAGAAAATGTCAACCAAAAATCTTCTTAGAAAACCACAACGCAAATCTTTACCCCTTACATCACAAAGACACAAAGAAAGTCTGGCCACACATTGTTGAGAAAACCACAAATTCAAAATCCACACAGGCTTTCATTGCAAGAAATAAACAAGAGTAAAAAATCATAATAAAACGTGTCCTCTCCACAAGAGTAGCAACATTTTCCTCTCATGTAATTGATCTCTCAAGTGTTAAGTTTGGAGCCCGGTCTGCCCAACCCGACTTCCGCTCCTGCTCCCACTATGTCGCGACCACGATTCCGCTCCCGCTATGTCGCGACCACAAATTCGCTCTTGCCCCTTATTTCGCAAAGCTTCTCGCCCGATCGTCGCGCCTCCCTATTCGATCGCGAAACCGATCCCGCACTCGCGAAGCTAAGCTTCGCTTCGTCCGAAGTCTCCCGCTTCCTGTTCGCAATAAAAGGCTTCAGCCGACTCTCCTTTGGTCAGAGAAGTCACGATTTTGGTGTTCTTTTTCGGGCTTCCTCGGGATGGAGGAAGTAAAGTGCAAGTAGCAGTTCCTTGCGACAGAAGGAAGAAAAGAAGAAGATTATTCTCAAGAAGATTATTCTCCCTTGGCTTATTCTTGGTGGCTTGTGGCAGAAGAGAAATTAAGTTTATTTCTCTTGTAAGTTTATGATATTTGGTGTATTTCAGTGTAGAGCTTATTCGGTGTATCTCAGTGTAGAGAGAGAAGAACAGAGAGAGAAGAAGAGAGAGCAACGAAGTGAGAGATTCCTCTTGTAAGTTGAGACGATCGACTGGTGTAAATTCCTCAAGTAGTAAAATCCTCTGCAACTCAGTGGACGTAGGCAATTTGCCAAACCACATAAATCTGTGTGTTCTGTTGTGTTACTGTTTTCTGGTGTGAATTTTCTCGTTATATTTTTTGCTTCTTCGATCGTTCTCCTGTTTGATTTATATATATATCTTATAGTTCACAACATCAAGAACTCACAAGAATTTAATGGTGGAAACTCACTTCTTGAGGCCCATTCCAAAGGAAGGAAAGAAAACCTAAGAGGAAAACTTTCTCTGATCAAAACTTTACATTTCTTACAGCTTCCAGTTGCCTGTGATGCCCTAAGATCGACTTCATGCATTAATTTATAGGCAAAGCTTGGCAAAGGCAAGAAAATTCTTATTATAAATGATTTATGGAATCTAGCGCAGGTGAATCGTAAACACAGAGCGGGTGCACAAAAAGTTGAACAAACGAGTAGGCGCGAGTGCACGGGATTCTGTGTGGGTGCTTTAGACTAGGCGCGGGGGCGCTGAACACGGCGCAGGCATGACAAAGTATAAGCTGACATGTCGTCTTGTAGGCGCCAGTG